ACAGATGATTGGTTGTTCTGTAAAACCCTGTGGGCAGTACTAAGTTTGTGGATTGGGAATAAAAGAGGCTGTATGTGCCAGTACAGTCAGTTCCTGCTTAACCCTCAAAGTGAAGTGTTGTCTCATTATTGGGGGAAGGATTTATTGTATGCTGTTCCAGTTTGACTGCTAGGAGAGTAAACCTATTCGTATGGTTCCTATTCAACTGTCTACAGCATTCATATGCTTGGGAGAATTTATTTGTTTCTCCGGTTTGGTGATTGTGGTGTCTGCCAGAGTGCTTGGAGTCCTCAGGAAGCGCTAGGAGCATCCTTCAACGGAGGTACCCAGTCGGGGTGCCAGGTGATCCGTTACCAATATGTTCATTGTTATCACCTCATAACTTCCATTTCAGACTTGGTTTTGTTTATATGCGGGTACTCGCCTACGCAGAGGCGCTGTTTTCAGTTACACAAGTCGGAATGCCATCTTATTGCCTGCGCAGAGGCAAGTTAGTCATGACTTTTATATTACATGTTTGAACAAAGTGTTGCATGGTACAATTTACATTTTACCCTTTACATTTAACTAACGACTACCTTATTTGGAGAGTGCAATGCGGTTGGCATATTTTAACAATACGCTGTTTTCTTCCGAAATGCCTGTGTCTGCATATTTATCCATGTTGCCATAAACTGCAGTGAAGACCCATCTTGCGAAAATGGGCTAGTGTTTGCGTGCTCTGGCCTTTTGCTTGCTGCCCTGAGTTCTAGTGTGTCTTGTGGCTACTAGCTCGTGTATATTGAGGTTGTATTGGTTTTGTACGTTTCGGGGCCTTCCCCTGCTAGTAATGGTGAGGCCTTTTGTGGTAAGTCTGTGTCTCCTCTATTGCGTGTGTCCATGGTTGTGCCTATGTTGTGTTGCTTTATTCTGGAGCTCTGTGTGTCCGCCTCTAGTGTTGCGTCTTTGTGGTTCATGTTTCGGTGTGTCTGAATCGCTGTCTGTGTGTTGTGATGTTGTCGCGTTTAGGTGGGTTCGACTGTGTGCGTGGTTGTGGTGCTGTCCTGTGGATTTTGGGGTGGACCAAAAAGGTCTGTGTTTGGGCTGTGGATGTGTGTGGCGCTCAGATCGTGTGGTTTCGCAACTCCCGTCTGGTTCTATTTGACTGCAGTGGCCATCGGCTCTATGTCGTGACCGTCCGTGTTTGTAGTGGGCCTTGGTTCAGGTAGCGCAGTTTGAAGTCTCAGCAGTTTTTTTTTGTTTGTTTTTAAATGTGCCCGTGAGAGTATGCACTCCGGCTGGACTTTTTCCGCAAGTACTCGTCGCGCTGCCGCTCGTATGTGTTGTGTGTTCACTTGTGTATGTCCCTGACAGGCCTGTTCATTGTCTCGCCTCCAGTTGTCCTTTGGATATATGTCTATATGTGGTGTCGGGTCGTGTCTAGTCTACGTGTATGTGGGTATTTTGAGTGGGTGATTCCATCCCCTGTCGCCGTCTCGGTTCGCCGTTCCCCCAACTCTTCATGTTGGTGCCGTATTTATTTTGGTTTAATACTCTCCTCCTCCGCCTACTGCTCCTCCGCCTACTGTGTCGCCATGCGGTTCTGAAAAGCGTCGGAGGCGGTTAGTCTAATCCAGTGAAACCAGCGTTTGGTGTAGCGATCACTAAGGTTCGGGGTGGTTGCCTTCACGTCTTAGAATTTCCTGGCTGCTTCCACCTTGTAACGGAGCTCCTTGTACTCCGACTGAGTACCCTCCGTTGACGGATGCTCCTAGCGCTTCCTGAGGACTCCAAGTGCTGCAGCAGACACCACAACCACCGCAACCGCTGTATCTTGACTGGAGTCTCGCCGTCTTCCTTCCACCCTGGATCAGCTTCTGTCCTCCAGGACTGTGTGGGAAAGAACTCTTCCTTCCACCCTGTACGAACCTCCAGCATCCAGGACTGTGTGGTGAAGACCTCTCCTCCAGGAGAGCGTATCAGGAACAAGCTCTTAAAAGAGCTAAATGATTCAAGCTCAGAGGAGCATGCAGAGCATAGCAATCCCCAGTGTGATTATAACAGCTCCCTCCAATAACGAGACAAGGCTACGTTTAGAGGGATCAAGAAGAACTGTCAAAACCTTTATTCCCTTGGGACCAGCCAATAGGGTCACCACAATAACATTGTTGTGAAAACTCAATAAAATCACAAACAGTCAAACCATATCAAGAAACACACAGTGACTTATCACAACACAATGGCATATTTTAAAGGTGTGGGGGAGACAATATTTAACAGTAAATATCTCACCTGCCTGCAGAATTAGCAATATGCAAATCTACCCGAATATGCAAATGAACCAGTCTTGCAATTCAGGTAGTGCATATTGCTGTTGCTACCAACAGAGGGCACTAGACCAGCTCCATAGCCAAACCCACCTAGTTGGTAGCAAACCTCAGCAATACAAGAGAGCAGGCTATACATTACACAGTACACACACACACACTATAAACAATTACATTACACACACCCTGCACCTATAATGGGTACAGGGTGACTAAAACATAGGATAAATAAAGCAACCCACATAAATAGTCTGTCTGAAGGTAGACTAGGGGCTTTAAAGCCAGATAGATGAAAGAGTCATAGTCACAGGGGAGGAGGCTGGCAAGTAGGCCTCTCCAGGACCAAGTGGCGAAGGGCACTTCGTCACACACCTCTTCCACCCATCTTGCGATGGAGGGTGTGGTGGCCTGCTTCCAGTATATTGGGACCGTCGCTTTGGCTGCGTTTAAGAGCCGTGGGATGACAGATTTACTTTATGTCGGTATAGACATATCCGTGTGATGTAGGAGGAATGTTGCTGGGGAACTCGGAAGCATTTCGTCCGTTACTTCATGTATTACCTCTCTAATTGTGTTCCAGAATGGTCGGAGTCGTGAGCACGTCCACCAGGTGTGTATGAATGTGCCTCTCTCATTTCCACATCTCCAACAGGAGTCTGGAGTTTCCGAATTCCTGGCGTGGAGCGCCGTCGGTGTCAAGTACCATCTGGTGTATATTTTGTACGAGTTTTCTTGCAGCCTTGCCGAGCTAGATGTTTTTTGTATCAGGGTGATGCTTTTGTCCCAGTCCGCTTCTGTCATGGGTTCTTCTAGGTCTTCCTCCCAGTTTCTCATACAGGGGGGTGCCAGTAGATACCTACCCGTAACCAGCATTGCATATATCTGTGAAATGGCACGTGGGGTTTTGTTTTCTTGCGTACAGAGTAGTTCGAATTGTGTGGGTTCTCTCAGTAATGATGTTTTTTGCGGGATGGATCGAGAATATCCGACTATTTGTGCTCTCGCCAGTGTGTGTGTAAAAATGTTAGCGTTCTGTCTGGAAAAAGGTCTGTGACGCCGCAGACTTCAAATGGGCGCTGGAGGACATCCATCATGCGGGGAGTTGTTGTGCGTCCCACCGGGCCTGGCGTGGGGCCTTGGTCTCCTGCTGGAAAGTCTGGGTTGCCTCTCAACGGCAGTAACGGGCCTGGATCCGTCGTGAGGTATTGCTTCGTGCCAGATCTTCATGGTCGCCACCATGAATGGGTTGGTGATATGCTTATTCTTGTATGCGGCCCTGGGTATCCATGGTAGCGTGCGAAGGTCACAGTTAGTGATGTCAGATTCTAGCTCGGTCCATGGTTTCGTTCCGCTGGCGACCGACCAGCTGGTGATTCTGGTGAGATGCGCTGCCTGGTAGTATTTTTCGAAATCGGGGAGCGCCAGGCCTCCTCGGAGTTTAGGCAGGGTTAGTTGAGCGTGCACTATACGTTGGGGTTTGCCCTTCCATACGGACGTGCGGACCTCTGCCCGTAGTGTCTCAAAGAAGGCTTGTGGGGCTAGTATCGGCACCGTTTGGAACACATATTTACTCTTCCTAGCCACGACGCGTAGAGAGAGCTCCATTTATTTAGTTCCTCCATTGCTTTTTTTAGTATAGGGAAGTAGTTGTGGGTGTAAAGGTCTGCCGGGTTGGGTGTGAGCCACACCCCTAGGTACTGCATGCGTTGGTCGCACCAACGGTACGGGTGTAGTCTTTGAAGTGTCCGTTTGTGGGCGTGCTCAATGGTGAGGATCTCCGACTTAGTGTAGTTTATTTGAAGGTTGGAGATCAGCCCATATTCTTCAAATTCTGCCTGTATCGCCGGTAAGGTGGTCTCCAGATGTGTGACCACAAACAGCAGGTCGTCCGCATATGCTAGCGTTTTGTGTTGTGTCGGTCCAACTGTGAGGCCCTGTATGTTTGCGTTCTGTCTGATCCTCCGCAGAAACGGCTCCAGCGTCAACGCGAAGATCAGGGGCGAGAGTGGGCACCCCTGTCTGGTTCCATTGTATATCTGGAACGGGTTCGTCAGTGCTCCGTTTATCCTGATTCGTGCCGTTGGGTTGGTATAGAGAGCCCGTACCCATGTAAGGTAGTGAGGTCCTATCCCGAAGGCCTGGAGGGTCTCGAACATCATATCCCAGTCCACCCTGTCGAACGCCTTTTCCGCGTCAGTCGACAGGAGGAGGGTCCGTGTCTTGTGTGCTCTAGCGTGCGCGATGATGTTCAGGGCTCTGACAGTGTTGTCTCTCACCTCTCTGCCCGGGATAAACCCTGTTTGGTCCGGGTGGATTGAGTCTGGCAGTAGCGGCGCAAGTCGCGTTGCCAGGATGCTCGCCAGGAGTTTGATGTCTGTATTAAGCACTGAGATCGGGCGGTAGTTTGGGCACGTCGGGTCTTTGCCCTCCTTTGGGAGCAGGGTAATGTTCGCCGAGGTGAACTGGGCCGTTGGTGCAGCTCCATCCTGTATGGAATTCAGGGCTTTAAGTAGTTTCGGCTGAATCTCTTGCGTGAAGACCTTGTAGTATTGGGGGGGCAGTCCATCTGGCCCCGGTGCCTTGCCCGTTTTAGCTTTCTTGATGGCGCATGCCAACTCTTCAGGTGTTATAGGTGCTTCTAGTGCTTCTCTCTCTGCTTCTGTTGTTTCTGGTATGTTCGCTGAGTTCAAGTACTTGCGTATGTCTGCTGTTTTTTTTAAGTCTCTGGTCGTCCTGTGCTTCCTTGCGGAGATGGTAAAGGTCTTGGTAGTATCGTTGGAACTCCGTTGCTATTTGGTCTGGGAGGTGTCTGATTTGTTGCTGTGCGTTTTTTATTTTCTGTATATACAGTTGTGTCCTACGTTGCCTCAGGAGGTTGGCTAGCAGTCTCCCGCACTTGTCTCTGTGTTCGTGTATCATGTGTCTGTAGTGTTGGTATGCGCGTTGGATCTTTCTGTTAAGGTGCGCTGTGAGTTGGTTACATTTATCTGTTAGCTCTCTGTATATTGTTGTTTCTAGGGTTTGTTTATGTCTGGCTTCCAGGATCGCAATTTCTCCGCTGAGCTTGGTTATTTCCCTTACTGACGTCTTTTTGCGGTTCGCGCATATTGCTATAATCTGGCCTCATACTACCGTCTTGTGTGCTTCCCAGCATGTCATTGGTATCACATCCTCTGTTTCGTTATCTTGGAAGTAGTCCCATATGATTTGGCCTATTTTGTCAGTCACTATCACATCCGATAGGATTGATTCGTTCAGTCTCCAGGACATCTGTCTGGGCTTAAATAACGGTGATGTCATCCGTATGTGGATCGGGCAGTGGTCCGACCACGTCATTGGTAGAGTAGGGCCAAGTTGTGGTGTGCTATTAAGAAGTAGTCTAGCCTCGTATATGTTGCGTGGGTCTGCAAGTAGAATGTATAGTCCCGCGTCGTTGGGTTTAGCGCTCTCCAGCAATCCGCCAATTGGTGTTGGTGCAGCAGGCGGAGTGTGTTCGCATATCTATTATACGGAGTTTTGCCGAGTGCTGATGTGGAGTCTTGGTCTGGGTGCAGAGTCAGGTTCAAATCTCCCCCCACGATCAGAGTGCCTTCTGCGAACTTCATCAGGTGCTTGTTCACCTTTTAAGAAAATAAAAGTATTGCTTTTCTACTACTATTTACTTGGAGTCCCGTGTTCCATTGGTCGCTCTACATCGGAAAGGGGGAAACCACTAGCCCCCTATGCTATCTGGGGAGGCACCCTATGAATGCTTTTCTATCTTCATCATCTTGTGAGTGCATCCATTTAAGTGCACTATTCATTGTATTTACTGTATTACACTATTGTGTTTTTTTCCTTTATATGTTCCCTTTATAGATTGTACAGCCGTATCCCATTTCTGTCTGGGGTTCATTGATATTTCAGTGTTTGGAGCTGACTCTTCAAGCAGAGCTATGATTCACGCAGTGTTTCACGCAGGAGGCTCTTTATCAGATCTGTTAAAGGGACACTGCAGGCACCCAGACCACTTCTGCCCATTGGAGTGGTCTGGGTGCCAACTCCCACTACCCTTAACCCTGCAAGTGTAATTATTGCAGTGGCTGTCTACTAGGGCACTTCCTGGTTTCTAGCACAGGTTTTGGTGCTAGAGTGTCGCTGGACGTCCTCACGCTATGTGAGGACCTCCAGCGTCGCTCAATTCCCCATAGGAAAGCATTGAAAGCATTTTCAATGCTTTCCTATGGAGAGGTCTAATGCGATGGGTGGTGGGAGGGAGAGGGGACCTGCAGTGCCAGGAAAACGATTTGTTTTCCTGGCACTGGAGTGTCCCTTTAAATACTGCAGATTGGTCTTCAGAATCTACATTTAAACAGTTTTATTTTAGACCTAGCATGCATGTTTCAAAAATATTGTAATATTTTAACGATGTATTTGCTAAATATTTCTATAATTATTCAGCTTTTAACATCCATATTACGAGCCTCCTGTCTTGCAATAAAATTCAAGATTTTTCTAGTCTTGACGTCAGAAATTATAGATTTTTTTTTACAGACAGGAGGCGATTATTAGCCAGGTCCAGATAGGATTAACCCTTTTTTCTGTAAACATAGCAGTTTCAGAGAAACTGCTATGTTTACCTATGGGTTAATCCAGTCTCTAGTGGCTGTCTCATTGACAGCCGCTAGAGGGCTTCCGCGTTTCTCACTGTGATTTTCACAGTGAGAAGACGCTTGCGTCCATAGAAAAGCATTGATAATGCTTTCCTATGGACTGGCTGAATGCGCGCGCGGCTCTTGCCGCACATGCGCATACAGCCGGAGAGGAGGAGGAGAGCTCCCCGGCCGGCGCTGGAGAAAGCGGTAAGTTTAACCCCTTCCTCCCCCTAGAGCCCGGCGGGAAGGAGACCCTGAGGGTGGGGGCACCCTCAGGGCACTATAGTGGTCCTTTAACCCTGCGAGTTTAATTATTGCAGTTTTTATCATTTAGGGGCTTGGTAAAAGTGGTCAAATTGCTCGTAGGAAATGTAAATGTTTTGCCTTAACCCCTTAAGGACACATGACATGTGTGACGTCATGATTGCCTTTTATTCCAGAAGTTTGGTCCTTAAGGGGTTAATCTTGTGTATCAGATAGAAATGTTACCATTTAAAAATCAACAAAAACCTGTAACTGCAGTGGTGAATGTTGTTGGAAATAAGTACAAATGTCGAATTTACTGTATACAAAAAAGACAAATCGATATACTTCAATATACTACAAATACATAACTAGGGGGCGGAGCCGGGCCGCCCAACTGAGAGGCAGCAACACACTATGCCTCCAGGCCTGAGCCCGGAAAAACCCCGCAAAATAAGCGCCCACAACACCCTGAAAAGGATTTGGCGGATCCACATTTAACAAACAGCACCCAAGCTTCCTGGGGATCCCAAACAGAGGCAGATCTCAAGCAAGGAACACTGCAAACAAACAAGCAGGCCTTTGCACCATCACGCACATGAAAGAGGGCGACCCCCGCCGGCACGAACTGACAGGCAGACGGGGGGCAATGATATACCGGCCACAACAGCTACCTGGAAGAATTCTCCAAGGCAAGAGGCGGCCCGGCTCTGCTCCCCCCCCCCTTTTTTCCCCTATCCGGCTGGGGGTGGGGGGTAACCCATGCCACATGGCGGTGGCACCCTCCGGGGCGGAAGATACCGCGTGGGGTCCAAGCTGCCCGCCTAAACGGGTAAAGACAACAAATACAGCCCGCCTGAAGACTTACCCCAGCAGGAGAAGCACCAAAAGGGACCAACATGGGCGGCTCACACGGGCCCTGGCAGGGCCAGGTGCCGGACGGATCCACCAGGCCGTGACCTCGACCACGGGAGAGGTGTGTGCCCGGGCATTTGGGTCAGGGGTCCCCAGAAAGCCTAGTCCCTGGCGCTGTGAGCCCGGTGGGACGGGACTGTGCCGCCCCCCTCGACGGACCGGTGGTCGTGGGGGGCGGACGCCGGCTCCAAGCATGCGGCCGGCGTCGGGTGAGACGCAGGAACACACTCCTCAAGGAACCCAAGCGGGGCCGGGGAGGTGCAGGGAGAGAACGGCCGGAGGACTTATGTGGTGGGGCCCAACAGACAATTTAAGCTCCCGAGTGCCCACGGAACTGTGGGGGACCCGACCGGTGAGCGGAGATCGGCGTGGGGGTGAGGGAAGGAGGCCAGGCACCCCAGGGACAGTGTGGAAGCAGCACCATGAGAGACTCCCCCAGACAGACATGGGGACGGACAGAGCCACCCTGTTGATGGATAGCTCGCATTTGTGTCTTAACAGCTGCATTCATTTTTTCAGTTTTTATCGATTTCGTTTATATGATGCAGGTTTAAAATACCAAAGGAATGTACAGTTAATACCAAAATGCCCATAGGGACCAAAGGTAGATACTGATGCATATTTAATTGTTGACTGCGGCATGATAGACTGCACAGTCGCTTATTACTGTAAACCTGATATCCAAATAGCTTTGTTATATATTAATGCAGCAGACTAAAAACAAATATGCTCCTTATGCTAAAAGTTGAAAAAGTTTTTGTATCTTAGATTATTGCTTAATGTCTGACTCCAATTAGCAAGCTGATTAATTTGCCTCTGCACAGGAGACAATTTGCATTTACCAACTAGTAAACACGCAGCCCTGGCACACACCAGTTAACTTAAAACACTTACTTGACGCTATAACCGAACTAAAAAGACAACACAGTACATAAGAGTATAAAACACAAAGCAACCAACTGTGAACCGGCCTTGGACAGCGGGCCAGGGGTGCCAGAAGATCTACACTGCATCCTGGGGGGTCTGGGAGGCCTTCCCAGCCCCCACGTGGTCAGCGCACGGCGGATCCAGAGCCGGGCCGGTAATGGTGAGTGGGCCCCTCAGGGCCACGCGGGGCATGGCTGTGCTGCCGCTGGAGGGTTGAGGGGGGTCCTCCCCGGGCTCTGATGGCTCCTCTGGGGATGAGGGTCGGCCGGGGGGGTCCCCCTCTCCCCCCGAGTTCTGTCCCAATTCCTCCCTCCCCCCTGTGGTGCCATCCCTTGACCCCTCTCCCTCTGGAGTCCCCTCTCCCTTGGTTTACCTCCTCCTTCCCTGTTGCTGCTGTCCTGGCTCTCCCTGCTCCCCCTCCTGGCTCTCTCTCTCTCTCTCTCTCTCTCTCTCTCCCTCCTTCCTCCTCCCCTGTTCCTGCTGTGCTGGGTGTCCTTCCTCTCTCTTAGCTCTCTCTGTCTCCCTCCCTCCTCCCCCCCTCTCTCCTGTCCCTATTCCTGCTCCCTATGTCCCCCCTGGCCCCCCCGGTACTTACCTCGGCTGCCCTCCTCTGCGGGTGTGAGCTCCTCTCCACAGCTCTTCACACAGGATCTGGCTGCAGTTCCTGGGACCGGCCAGCAGATGGCGCTTGGTGCTGCTGCTGGGCTGAGCAGTGCTGAAAATGAAGTTAACTCTGTCCTGCCTGGATCATCTTCATTTCCTTTGCCGCGGGAGGTTCCTCGGGCATCGGCTGGTGAGTTCACTAATGTTTCTTCTTTTCAGTCCAGGGGTTCCTCGCTGGGGGGTTTTCTTGATCAGTCAAAAAAAAAAAAAATTTACAAAAAAATATAAAATAAAGGGAGCAGGGTGCGCAAACAGGTAGGGTCCCCCCATTAGATGGTCATCTCCGGTTAGTGTGGTCCCCGGCGCTGCAGCCACAGGGTTTTTTTGTCTGTTTTTGGGGTCACGCTGTTACACTCTCCTGGAGTGGGTGTGCATGCTGGCACCCCTGCTACGGCGTCGGGTGCCGCAGCACCTGCTGCTGCTAGGGGGTCCCTAGCATTAGGTGACCCCCCCAGGTTTGCCGTTTCGCATGGGTCCGCCTATGTGTTGGTCAGGGCCCTTGGGCTTGCACCTTCATCAGGAGGTTCGTAAAAAATTTGGAGGGGAGACTTTGTTGAGATTTTTCCCTCCTTCCCATGGAGGAGGCTCCTCCTTTAATGGAAAAGGACGGGTAGGAATCAAAAAAAAAAAAAAAAAAGACAAGGAGAAATACCAGCACCGGAAGATCCCTATGACTTGTGCAAATTGGATTTGCGCGTTTGCAATCCTGGCCAGTGTAACTGGGGAAAGGGCTCCGCAGAAGTGCTCCGCATTGTTCTGCTACCAGGATACCATTTGGAACGCTTGTCGTACCTATGGCAGTCTGGGATGGTGGAAATATGACGAGCAGTGCTGTCAACAGTTGGCGGTGCGCCCCTCAATTTCGTGGGAACAGATTGACATTGGCCTCTGGCCCTCCACTGTGAGCTGCATGGCCCCCCAGCAGGGTGCGTTCTCGTCCTTTCTCAGAGGGGTGGTGGGGGGGTCCTCCTCCTCACCGGTCGCGCATCGGAGGCTGGGCTGTTGTTGAAATTCAATGACAGTCACTGCAAATGGGGGGACATCTTGCTGTTTCCAGCACGAATGTTCCACTTGGGGATTTGGGGTCAGAGGGCGATGGCGCCAGTGGTCATGAGCGCGATGCGCCCTTGGCTCTCCAGTTTATAGAAATCGTCGGGTGGCTGGCATCCTACTGTATGGGTTGAGCATGGGTTTTGGACAAATACCGTCTGATTCACCATTTATCGTACCCCCGGAGGGGGGGGGGTTGGTGAATGACGACATCTCTTGGGAACTCTGACGGGTATCTTATGCATCCTTTGACGTGGCGGTTGATATGGTCAGGGCCATGGGCCCTGGGGCCTTGTTGGGCCAGGGCTGATGTGGATTCGGCCTTCCGTCTACTGCCAGTGCACCCGGGATGTCACCATCTTCTGGGCTGTGTTTTTTGTAGGCATGTATTACGTGGATATGTGCCTCCCTATGGGTAGTTCCATATCCTGTTGTTACTTTGCATGCTTCAGCACATTCTTGGACTGGGTGGTGAGGAAGGAAGCTGGTATAGTCTCCTTGCTACACTACCTCGATCATTTTATTTGTGTGGGTCCTGCCGATTCGACAGCCTGTTCGCTGCTGCGACGAGTTCTGGGTGAGGTGTTCCATTAGTTTGGGATCCCATTGGCACACGGCAAGACGGTGGGCCCGGTCACTTTCTCAGCTTTCTGGGCATTGAGATTGTCTCTTTGGCGTGGGACTGCCACTGGCCTTTGAATAAGAGTCAAGGCTGGCAGCGCGAAGGGGCCTTGGCCATGGGGCGGCGCGATATTCAGCTGCGCTGCCTGCAGTCGCTCCTGGATGAGCTGAATTTTGCCTGTCGGATCATGCCCGTGGGCCGGTCTTTAACCGGTGTCTGGCTATGGCGACAGCCGTGGTCTCCGGGCCTCGCCATTTCATTCGGCTCACTCGGCTGCTGCGGGAGATTTTGGGAGTCCTTCTTAGCTGCATATTATGGCCGGTCCTGCTGGCAAAGGCCGGAGGTTTCTAACACCGACCTCCACCTATTTATGGACGCAGCTGGCGCGGTGGGGTTTAGGGCCATTCTGGGCTCTAATTGGTGTGCTCCCGTGTGGCCGGACAGTTGGCATGTCTCTAGGCTCACAAAGAATCAGGGCTTTTTGGAGCGTTTCCCCATTTTGGTGGTGGGGGAGGTCTGGCAGTCACGTTTTAGGATCTAAGGGTAGTGTTTCACTGCGACAATTTGGGGGTTGTTCAAGCCATTACTCGGTGGACAGCCTCCTTACCTCGCTTGCTTAAGGGGCAATCGCCTCGCAGGCGGATCTGGAGGGGACGCCTTGCTCGGCGGACAGTCTGGCAGAGTGACGGAATGGGTCCGTGGATCGGTTTCCACGGCCACCTGGACGCTATGCTCCTGGGGGCCGTGCATGTTGGGATTTTGGTGATTCCTAGTAGGCCATGCGGTGGTGGGGTATTGTTTGCCACCAGTCGGCGCCCTGCAGATCATATCACTAAAAGTGTTTGACAATCCAGGTCGAATGTTGTTTCGGGAAGAGTATGGCGGTTCGGCTATTGCACTTTTCCTTTGTAGAGAACTGTGAGCTGCGCCCAGTATGCACGGGCCCTCTTTTGAGTTATGCGGATGTGATTTAATTTTTTCTTTCCCATTCCCAATTTTTGGGTCTTTCGCTCAAGTCTGATGGTTCTGGGGACTGTCAGCAAAGAATCTTGTGTCATTCCTTTCGGTTTAGCGCTGCCTTGGAGGCTCTTAGAATGGGTATGTCAGCGCACGTGGTGCAAAGAACCGGGAGGGGGTATGGTGAGATGTCTCGGTGAAGTAATGCTGGTTTCGTGGAATTTGTTCTATCCTTGGGGGGGTTCGGGTTCAATTCTCAGCGGCGGCGGCTCATCTATTCATTCCTTTGAGGTAGATAAATGAGTACCAGTTCCTTGGGTACAAGTAACAATTCCCAGGGTGCACTTGGAAAACAGATAATATATGGATGTCCTTTTCCTGGTTATACTCCCAGGTGAGATGCGGGTGTCCGTCTGGGAGGTGAGCTTTTGGGTTGTGTGCCTTCTGAAGCGGAGGTTCGTTGGTTTGGTGTCGGAGGTATGAAATGTGTTCGGCTCCTCCCGGAGCAGGTTCAGCTGTCCCACCTGTCCCTAATGTTCGGGTTATCCACCTGGCGGGCATTGAGCTTGGGACGATACCAAGGTGGTTTTTTGGCGTCTGCCCCTAAGAGGGTATTGGTGCGTGTTTTAGTTCTTTCGTGATGCGTGGTGTTGGGTTCACTGTATGACCCTGTGTGTTAAGTTATATATGTTAAGTTATGGTTATTTATGTTTAATGTTTTGGTTTCAGAAAAGAAGAGAGATTATGATTATAGAGATTATTATAATAAGTTCTGGATGTGTTATGCAGGACTTGTCGTATGTTATAACAAAGCAGTTCTAAAAAAATAAAATTTAAATAAAACTATTTTAAATAAAAAAAAAAGAAAAGAATCAATAAATATCCCCGATTGGTCGGAGGTCAATTCCTTTTGGCAGCGGGCCCATAATCAGTGCATGGTACGCTGCCGTATGAAGCAAAATTGGAGGGCCTTTCGAGGTGTTTGAAGGTAAGGGGATTTTGGTTTGCCACAGGGTGTTGTCGCGCATGTGGCAGCTACTGTGTTTCTGGGTGATGAAGGTCCGGCTAGACCTTTTTTCGTCTTGCCATGCAGAAAGTGGTGGAACAGGCCTGGTTGGTTTTGGTGGGGCTCCCCGCTGATTTTAGGTTTTAAACAGCGGAGTTTGTGGCGGGGAGCGTGTCCTTGCCAACAGGGTTGGGGAGCAGATGGAATGTCAGGAGATGGACATGATGGGTCTCAACCTCCCCTGCTCTGTAAGGTAAACTTTTAAGTTACCGAATAGGACGTGCCCACCGAGCAAAAAGCCGGCTGGTGGTAGAGCATTTAAGATGATGGGAATTTTTGGTTTGGACGAGGGGGGAGGCGAGACACCAGTGGGTAAAGTTTTGGTGCATAGGCACCTGGTTAAGTTTGTTGGCAAGGACGGTTATTTAAGTTGGAGGCTGTAGGGCAATAAGTGTAATTTATATGTTAATTATGGTATGTATATATATTTATCTGTTTATTTATATTTGAATTAAAGAAAAAGAATAAAGTTCGGATGAGTCCTACAGTTGTAAGTTTAATAAATGCTGTGGCCTGTTTCATCCAATATTCGTTGTTTGTCATTATTGGGGGGAGAATTGGGGTAGTCTCCTTACTCTTAGTCGCACCACATTCCCCGCTACGTACATACATGAGAAATGCATGTTTTGGCAGTTTAAGCAGTGAGTATTGCAGTTAGCATGTCGATCTCCCAGGTTGGAAGTAGTGTAGGACCCACTGATATTGGGGTACTGTGACGTCATTAGTGTAGGACCCACTGATATTGGTGTACTGTGACGCAATTAGTCTAGGACCCACTGATATTGGTGTACTGTGACGTAATTAGTCTAGGACCCACTGATATTGGGGTACTGTGACGTAATTAGTGTAGGACCCACTGATATTGGGGTACTGTGACGTAATTAGTCTAGGACCCACTGATATTGGTGTACTGTGACGTAATTAGTCTAGGACCCACTGATATTGGGGTACTGTGACGTAATTAGTCTAGTACCCACTGTTATTGGTGTACTGTGACGCAATTAGTCTAGTACCCACTGTTATTGGTGTACTGTGACGCAATTAGTCTAGTACCCACTGATAATGGGGTACTGTGACGTAATTAGTCTAGGACCCACTGATATTGGTGTACTGTGATGCAATTAGTCTAGGACCCACTGATATTGGTGTACTGTGATGCAATTAGTCTAGGACCCACCGATATTGGGGTACTGTGACGTAATTAGTCTAGTACCCACTGATATTGGGGTACTGTGACGTAATTAGTCTAGTACCCACTGTTATTGGTGTACTGTGACGCAATTAGTCTAGTACCCACGGATATTGGGGTACTGTGACGCAATTAGTCTAGGACCCACTGATATTGGGGTACTGTGACGTAATTAGTCTAGTACCCACTGTTATTGGTGTACTGTGACGCAATTAGTCTAGTACCCACTGTTATTGGTGTACTGTGACGCAATTAGTCTAGTACCCACTGATAATGGGGTACTGTGACGTAATTAGTCTAGGAC